GGGAGGTGGGTGTGAGCCTCCAGGAGAGGAGGAGGGAGGTGGGTGTGGGCCTCCAGGAGAGGAGGAGGGAGGTGGGTGTGAGCCTCCAGGAAGAGAGGAGGACAGTAGGTGTGAGCTGGTATGGGGTGGCATGGGGAGGTTGGTGCGGCTTGGGGAAGGCCTCGGCGTGATGGCATCTTCCCCCACCCCAGCCCTGCCGCTAGCTCAGCATCTGCACAGCTCCGGGGCCTGAGGTGGGCTGGCTCTGTGGGTCCGCCAGCTGCACTGACCGCCAGCTTGCCCCCAGCTCGCCTCAGTGGTTCCATGGCTGGGCCATGTTGAGGGGACTCGTGGGTGAGGAAGAGTGGCCTCAGGAGAGTGGGGCCTTAGGCAGCGTGCGGGGTGGGGCCAGGCTGAGTGCAGGCAGCCCCTCATGTCCTCGGCGGCCCGGCACTTACCCATGACCTGGTATGTGGCCTCCTCAAACCTGTCCATGATCATCCTGTGGGAGGAGAGCAGACACATCCATGGCCTCAGATCCCCCAAAACCCCAGCCTGGGTGGGGACAGGGCAGGCAGGGCCTCCTTACCCCAGCTCCAGGTTCTTCCTGTGGAGCTCCTCACACCTGCTCCTCAGCTCCTGGTTCTCCTCCTGCGTCGCCTTTACCTGCTCAGGCCACACCTGAGTCAGCAGGCAGGCGGGCTGGACAACCCCTCCTAGGACCTCCCCACAGGATGGGGCCAGCCCACCCCGAGGTCCCTGGAGCCATGTCCAGAGCCACAGTTCCATGTGGGCCTTCCAGCAGGACCCTGGGAGCCCCACTGAGGCCAAGGCTGCCTGTTCCACAATTGCCCAGTTGCCAGGGGGCAGGAGTTGTGGGGCTGCTGGCTGTGCTCCTGGGTGGAACCAGCAGGTGCCCAACAGGTGTGTGTCCCTGCGTCCACCCCCCAGGGGTGGGTACCGGGGTCCAAGTTACATGCAGGGGCTACCTGCATGGGGAGCCCAGGCCTGCAGAGGGGAGGGCTGGCCACACTGTGGTCCTCAAGCCTGCTCTGGGGTTATGGCATGGGCTCAGACACCAGGAAGGGGGTGTTGGGGAACCGGGTCAGTACTGTATCACAGGCCCCTGAAATGACACCTGAGGTTGCTATGACCGACACTGGTTCAGATGTGGGGGCTTGTGCCCAGCCCTGCAGCCGGTGTCCGGAGCCACCCTGTCCCCACCCTCCCCAGGGACTATCTGGCTCACAGTGGTGCCCACAGCTCTCGTGGGGACAACTTAGAGCTGGAGTTAGGACAGGCTGAAGCCTGGCATGTGTGGGAGGATGGAGGGAGACAGGCAGGGAACCTCAGATGTGGGCAGGTGGAGATGGAGCTTCCTAAGCTGCCCAGAGATGTGTCTGGACTTGTGGAAGGGCAGCAGGAAGGGGCAACACTCAGGTTTACAGCAGCGACAGCCACACTCACTGCTGCGAGGTTGCCAGAGGTGAATGCCACGCTCAGGCTGGAGAGCCCTGGGGAGGCAGCCAGTGGGCAGTTGGCTATGGGGACACTGGGTGGAAGCTTGGAGCCTCAGCAACCTGGGCAGCAGTGACAGGCCAGGGGCCAGCAGCTCTCCACAATGCCACCCCGACCAGCAGGGGCGGGGATGGCAGGGACAGCTGGTCAGGCCACTGGACCCCACCTGTGCCTGCTGTTGGCCAAGCCCGAGCGGCCTGCAGGTTCTGTGGAGCAGCCACCACCTGTGTCCTTACCGCGGCGTCCAGGTCCTTCTGGCTGTACTGCAACAGGTCCACTATAGGCCCAGTGGACAGGGGTGGGCCGCCAGGCGCAGTGACACCTGGGGGTGGGTCTGGCACCTGTGGGAGATGGGGATGAACCATCAGCCCATTTCACCCTCGCCTCTCATACCTCTGACCTGGCGTGAGGGAGGGAAGGCCCACGAAGCCCAAGAGCCTCAGACAGTGCGGTGATGGACTGGTGACGGAGCCACAGGCTCCAGACCCCCAGGAAAAAAAATATAGGCCCTTAAAACAATCTGCCTCCTCAGACCACAAGATGGTTCAAGAGGGACTGAAGTACTTACCGGAGCATCCAGTGCTCCCAAGAAATCCAACTCCACAAGCGTGGCTTCCCGCGGACTTCCTGAGGGAGGCTCCTCCACACCGTGTGTGCTGTCGCCAAGCAGAGGCAGCCTCGGTCACTCAGGCCCTCCCAGCGTTGAGTAGGACACAGAGGACCATGCGGACAAGCTAACCAGGCTCTTTGCTTTTTAGTTTAAAACTGCTCAAGTCAGGATGGTGGTAGGAAACGCAGGCCCACATCCAGCAGGCCCTGCCTCTCTGCTGCCCCCAGCCCCCTTCCCTCACGTCCTCATCCCACGAGGCGGATCATCCTTCTGGAGAGCTGCGACGCCTCCTTAACCACTGCAGGCTGAGCGGAGCCGCTGATGCCTCATCTGGGGGCCCTCACAGCTTGCAGGCTCACTTTCTTTTTGTTTGAGACAGGGTCTCACTCTGTCGCCCAGACAGGAGAGCAATGGCGTGATCTCGGCTCACTGCAACATCCGCTCCCAGGCTAAAGCAATTCTCCTGCCTCAGCCTCCTAAGTAGCTGGGACTACAGGCGCCCATCACCATGCTCAGCTAATTTTTGTATTTTTAGTAGAGATGGGGTTTCACCATGTTGGCCGGGCTGGTCTTGAAATCCTGACCTTGTGATCTGCCCGCTTCGGCCTCCGGAAGTGCTGGGATTACAGGTGTGAGCCACTGCGCCAGGCTGTGTATTAGGCCTCTGTCATACTACTTGGTTCTGCCCTTGTAGTGTGAAAGTTGCCACAATTTTCAAAGGAATGGGCATGGTTCTGTGCCAATAACTTTATTTACACAAACAGGTAGTGGCCAAGTCTGGCCTACAGGTCATAGTTTGCTGACCTGTTTTAGAGGAACTACTTTAAAAAAATTTAAGTTTAGCTCTTTAATCCACCTAGCACATGGCTGTAACCAGCAAGGCAGCATCTGTAACTGGAGGGTCGGCTGCTGTCACTCCCACTGGGCTGATGTGACCCTGCCACACAAGGCTGCTGCTCTGCGCTTGCCGCCCTGCCTACTCCGCACCACGCCTCTTTTCTAGTTCAGGTCATCTCCCCCGGTCTAGAAGCCTCTACAGACGGCATACCCAGGAACAGCCTCCCATCCCCTACACCCAAGGCTTCATGCCTGGGGAGGGCTGGCTTACGTACCTGCTGGTCTCTGTGGCCACGGGCCCCGGTCTTTGAGGACTGTCCTTCAGGAGAGGGTCGAACTTGAGGTATAAGGACTGCTTCCTCAAGGCTGACTCCTTAAACTGGGGACAAGAGGGCAACTGAGCAGGTCTGACTGCCGTCCTCTAGCACACACGTCAGGGCTAGGGCCAGGGAGGTCACACACACTCCCACCTCTGGTCACTGCGACCCCGCCCGAGGCCCTGCATTCCCAGCAGCATGGTGTCAGAGTTCATCCCAGGCAAGCACCAGGTGAGGGCCTGGCCACAACCATAGGACACCACTTAGAGATGCAGCAGGAGAAGGGTCAGGGCCCGTGTCCCCCCAACAGCCGGGGGGACACGGGCACCAAGGGACGTTCCAGGGTGAAGAGTTGTCGGGGCTGCCCTCAGTACACCCTGCAGGGGAGGTTTCACAGAGGTGCCCAGTACCTACCGAGGAAGCTCCAAACTGCTCCAGGTAATCCACCTCTGCCCCTGTGCCTAGAACTGAGAGGGCGCAAGTCATGGCACTGCCACCGCCCCACACCAGGGCCCCCAAGGGCTAAGGGCTGGCGTCTCTGTCAGGACTCAGCAAGGCAGGACCATGGTTCCTTATCGGATAAAGCAGCATTCCAGCTAGCAGGGTCTCGCTGAGGCCCTCTGCAGCACAGCAGGATTTCCACCTCGGAGGTGTCCATGTTCCGGGCCTGACTGCTCACTGGCAGGTGTGTCTTGGGCACTGCAGGGTGCCATGTGGCACCCCCAGCCCCCACCCACTCCTTGCCAACAGCACCCCAGGTATGACAACCAAAACATCTAGGGGAAGGAGGGGGCAAAATTGCTCTGGTTGAAACAATTATAGTCTTTAAGATTACCCTAGACAGATCTTTTAATTTTTGATAATATAACCTTTGGCTAAAAAAATCTAAGAGTGGGCCAGGTGCAGTGGCTCACGCCTGTAATCCCAGCACTTTGGGAGGCCGAGGCGGGCAGATCACCTGAGGTCAGCAGTTCAAGACCAGCCTGACCAACATGGTGAAACCCTGCCTCTATTAAAAATACAAAAATTAGGCTGGGTGTGGTGGCTCACGCCTGTAGCCCCAGCTGCTTGGAAGGCTGAGGCAGGGGAATTGCTTGAATCCAGGAGGCAAATGCTGCAGTGAGCTGAGATTGCACCACTGCACTCCAGCCTGATGACAGAGTAAGACTCCGTTTAAAAAAGCAAAACTAGGGCCGGGCGCGGTGGCTCAAGCCTGTAATCCCAGCACTTTGGGAGGCCGAGGCGGGTGGATCACGAGGTCAAGAGATCGAGACCATCCTGGTCAACATGGTGAAACCCCGTCTCTACTAAAACTACAAAAAAATTAGCTGAGCATGGTGGCGCGTGCCTGTAATCCCAGCTACTCAGGAGGCTGAGGCAGGAGAATTGCCTGAACCCAGGAGGCGGAGGTTGCGGTGAGCCGAGATCGCGCCATTGCACTCCAGCCTGGGTAACAAGAGCGAAACTCCGTCTCAGAAAAAAAAAAAAAAAAAAAAAAGGCAGGGTCTCCCTCTGGCTGAGATCCGGCTGGGGTGTCTCTAGTTCTGTCCCTCTCCTCATGCCGTAGTATTTATTTGCTCATTCTTTCCTTTTTTCAATTAAGCTAAAAGGCTGTTGCCAATTATTTGGTCTAGAAAAGACTTGTAGGTCTTCTCTGCTATAGACAGCTTTGTTGTCAGTTTTCATTTCTGCCCTTTTTTTCCCCCTTTCCTTCAGACAGGGTCTCACTGTCACCCAGGCTGGAGCGCAGTGGTGCCATCACGGCTCACCGCAGCCTGGACCTCCTGGCTCAATCGAGCCTCCCACCTCAGCCTCCCATGTAGCTGGGACTACAGGCACGTGCCACCACGCCCAGCTCGTTAACATCTTTTTTGGGTAAGAGATCCAGTCTTGCCATGTTGCCGAGGTTAGTCTCAAACGATCCTCCTGTCTTGGCCTCCCAAAATGCTGAGACCACAAGTGTTGGCCCCTGTGCCTGGCCAAAAGCCAGTAATTTGAAACATTACCTGATGAGGGGCTTTTTTTTCCCCCCTCCCTTTCCTTCTTTTTTTTTTTTGAGACAGAGTCTCGTTCTGTTGCCAGGCACCAGGCTGGAGTGCAGTGGCACAATCTCTGCTCACTGCAACCTCCGCCTCCCGGGTTCAAGCAATTCTCCTGCCTCAGCCTCCCGAGCAGCTGGGACTACAGGCGCACACCACCACACCCAGCTAATTTTTGTATTTTTAGTAGAGACGGGGTTTCACCATGTTGACCAGGATGGTCTCGATCTCTTGACCTCGTGATCCACCCGTCTCGGCCTCCCAAAGTGCTGGGATTACAGGTGTGAGCCACCGCGTCCGGCCCTTCCTTCATTTCTTAAGTGAAAGGAATTTATTTCTTAAAACTCAGTAATGAAAAGATAAGTGGCCCAATGGGCAAGGAATCTCAGCAGACATTTTCTCAAAGAAGATATCCAACAGCATGCAAAGAGATGCTTGGATGTCGTGAGCCACGCGGAAACCGCAGATTAAAACCACCACTAGGCCTGCTTCCTACCCACGAGGAGGTCTAGGACCCACAAGACACAACATGCAGCACTGCTAAGGCTGCGGAGACCAGACCCTCCTATATGGCCGGTGGAACTCGAAAGGCTGCGGCCACTCTGTTAAGCCACCAGAGTGGCAGCTGAGAGGCAAGCAGAGTTCCCGTGACCAGCGACTCCATTTCCAGCTACCTATCCAGGAGAAACGGAAGTACGTGTCCACACAGAACTTACACCTGAACGTTCATGGCAGCGCTACTCCTGACAGCTAAGAGGCAAAAACCACCAAATTCATGAATGAATGGATAAAGATGACGGGAAGTCTGCAGCCACAGCAAGGACAGGAGCACCAACACCTGCTCCAGCAAGGCTGGGTCATGAAAACACACCGCCCAGAGGGTGATGCTGGACAGGGAAGGCGACGCTGTGTGATTCCAGGGATCCCACGTGAGGGTGGCAGGCCCAACCCAGCCGAGCCAATATCCCCACACAGCGGGGCCCACAACTATCCCTACACACTACTTCAGTTTTCTGCATGCCTGGGCTTTTCTTTTTGAGATAGAGTCTTGCTCTGTTGCCAGGCTGGAGTGCAGTGGCAATGATCTTGGCTCACTGCAACCTCTACCTCCCGGGTTCAAGCGACTCTCCTGCCTCAGCCTCCCGAGTAGCTGGGACTACAGGTGCACACCACCACACCCAGCTAATTTTTATGTGTGTGTGTTTTTTTTAACACTCCACCGTCAGTATTAGATCAATTTTTGTGTTTTTAGTAGAGACAGTTTCACCATGTTGGCCAGGACGGTGTTGATCTCTTGACCTGTGATCCCACAAGGGAGGCCCACCCTCGGCCTCCCAAAGTGCTGGGATTACAGGGCTGAGCCACCGTGCCCGGTGTGTGTGCCTGGGTTTTAGGCTCTCCAATTGAGATTTTATTTATTGATTTTTGAGATGGAGTCCTGCTCTGTGGCCAGGCTGGAGTGCAGTGGCACAATCTCGGATCACTGCAACCTGACTCCCTGGTTCTAGCTTGCCTCAGTCTCCCAAGTAGCTGGGATTACAGGCACACGTCATATAATCCCCAGCTAATGTTTGTATTTTTAGTAGAGATGGGGTTTCACCATGTCTTTGGGAGGCTGAGGTGGGTGGGGTGGCTCATGCTTGCAATCCCAGCACTTTGGGAGGCCAAGGTGGGTGGATCACTTGAGGCCAGGAGTCTGAGGACCAGCCTGGCTGACATGGTGAAACCCTGTCTCTACTAAAAACACAAAAATTAGCTAGATGCGGTGGTATGTGCCTGTAATCTCAGCTACTCGGGAGGCTGAGCAGGAGAATCTCTTGAACCTGGGAAGTGGAGGTTGCAGCGAACTGAGATTTCACCACTGCACTCCAGCCTGGATGACAGAGCAAGACTCTGTCTCAAAAAAAATAAATAAATAAAAAATTTTAAAAAGGCAGTATTTCTGATGATCAGAAGGTCCCAGTTGTTGATTCTGCATTTGTATCTCCCCCGTGCACTGCCTTGTTCACATTTTCTGCTCGTTTTCCTGACTCTACAATTTCCATTTCTAGAAGTCTCTTATGTTAAAGGCATCAGTCCTGTTCTCCTAATGGTGCCTAACTTTTGAGAAACCAAAAGTCTGTGCTTGAGTTATTCAAAGCCGGGGGATGGAACCGCCTGGAATGACCACCTGCTCATGACACAGGCGACTCAATGCGCGTGACATCTATGCCAGGCAACATACCCTCAGCGGGGTCTCTGAAGCTCTCCTCTCCCAGCTCCAAGGCAGGCTGCCCCTGCTGATGGGTGGGCAGTGGCTCACTGTCTGGACAGCCTGTGGGAAGCGCAGTGCCCGCAGCGTTCGAGGCTCTCTCCTGGAGGAAAGCGAGAGTCACCCTGTGTAGTGAGGTCAAGGTATCGGGGTGTGGCTCTGCCTCTCCTACAAGCCTGCGGAAGTAGACCTGTGGGCGAGGGCAGCGGGACTTCCCACCCACCACCCAAGATCGCTGGGGCCTTCCACTGCTTGCTGCTCTTCCCCAGAAGCAGGCCAGGCGCACAGGCACCCATATGGGCACCCTTACCTTGCTCTCTGCTCTTGGGGTCTCAGCTGCCAACTGCAACACAGGTGTGTCCTCTGCTAAGGCTGAAAGCAGCTGCCTGGGGAGACAGAGTTGGCAGAGGCCTGTCCCCGCCACCACATAAACTCCAGCATCTCCTACACCTGCCTTCCCCTGAACTGCTGTGCCGGTCACAGGAACACTCAGCTAGTGTGCACCAGGCATGGGGCTGCCCCAGGGGACCCAGCCACTAAGCTGCCTCACCACCCTTTTTCCAGCAGGAAAACACACACCTGCCCGCTCTGGGAGAAGCAGGCAGGGAGCTCTGAAGTCAGCGCAACGCAGCCAGAGGGAACCACAGGATGAGCACATCCCTTTTACTATGAAACCGAGAGGCTTCGGGTGGGGAGGCCGGGGCAGGACGACCCTGCACTGAGCAACTCTTCGGCCAGGAGGCAGCAGACCTGAGGCCAAGACCCCAGTGAGCAGGGGACACCACCCCAGGCGGGAACAGGCTCTGCCCAGCTGTTGGAATGATGTACCCAAGTCGAGTTCATTGGAGGAGGGGCTGTGACTGGGGGATAGGGTCCTGACTGGGGTTGGTGCATTTGGCTTCTGGCCTCAGCACACCCTTATTGGATCCCTCCTTAGTCGAGGAGTGCTAAAGACTCATGGAGGCCAAGGCAAGGCCGAGCACCCTCAGCGGGGCCCCGGCAGCTGTGCCCCTCAGCTTGGATGCACCTGGGCCCTGTTTTTGCCCAGAGGCCCCTCCTCAGGGGGAGCCCACCCAGCCTCAAAGGAGTCTCTGATGATGCCTCTGGCCTGAGGTTGGGGACCATACACGGGGCAGGGCAGCTGCCCCTGCCATGCTCCCCACCCCATCCCACACTCACTGGCTCAGATGGGAGCCTGGCTCCTCCGTGGGACTCCGTGGTTCAGCTGCTGGCCGGCCCAGCCTGGTCTTGGGGCGTTCCAGGGGCTGGGCCTCACTGCAACCGGACTTGGTGCCACCTCCGAATGGTGTGAAGTTTGGGTACTCCGGCTTGTCCCAGTCGAGGTGGCAAGAGCCCTGAGAAGCCGGTGCGGGGGGCTCCGCTCCCGCTCCGCTCCCACTGTCCTCTTCCGACACCCGCGGGGCCTGCTGCTGCCTTGCTGCCACTCTCCTCAAGGGAGGCTTGAGGCCGGATCTCTCTCCCCGTCTCTTTGGGGGGGGTGCCCTATTGCTGGTGGCGCCATCAGAGAAATCAAATTCAAGTTTTATGGGTCCAGTCCTCGAGGAGCTGGCCATCTGACCTGAAGCCGCTTCCTCCAAAGGACTCAGGGTCAGGGCTGTGCTCTCAGGAGCAAAGGTGTGTGCACAGGTAAGGGTCTGCGTGGCATCTGCTGGCATGGGGGTGCCCACACTCACGGGGCAGGCTGGGGCCTCGCCAGGCAGATCCCCCAGGGGCGCTCCTCCACGTGCTTCCTCAGGGATCACACCAGGAGGCCAAGTGGCCACTGCTGTGGGTGCAGAGACCCCACCAGGCCTGCATTCCTCCTCGGCTCTGTGCGGAGGCTCCACTCTATGCTGGGACTCTGTCCTGGGAGGGTCTTCTAGGGGCTCAGAAGTGGGTGTCATTCTCTTGTCTAAGGAATAAGAACTAACGTTTTCCTCCAAGGCTTGCTCAGGGCTGCCAGACAGTTTTCCTGGAGACGCCATTTGGTTTTCAGAACTTCCTGGGTTCTGGGGATAGCTTGAGCAGTCCAGGCCAGCCAGGGCGCCCGGGCCAGGTTCGCCGGAGCTGCCATCCCCAAAGGCTGGGCCTGCATCCCCCGGGGGGTCGGTGTCAGCCTCCACTGGTTTCTGGATAATTCCATGAGTAGTTTTGGCATCCACTGCCTTGATGAGCTGTTGGCTTTTAAAAACAGAGTCAACATGAAGCAGTGAGTACCCCTGAGGTTAGGTGGCCTTGGCATGCAATTTGAACACAGGTTTAAGTCTCTCACACCAGAAGCAGGACTGAGTCACCCTCAGGACAGCTTCCAGTTCTCCACTTCTGACCCCAGTTCCTCAATGTGGTTCCCTCCTGTCCTCCCTCCTGTCCTCCCAGGGACCACTCCCTGTGGAATGGCTGGACACAGCTGCGTGACTTCCCTGCTGACCCCCGCCAGAGGGCTGGGTGGCTAGACACAGGGTTCCAAATTGCAGGGGTGCCTTTGGGCTGCCTGTCTGTTCAACTGCACTCATCACACACCCTGCCAGGTGCTGGACCCTGACTCCTCCAGCAGCCTCTGCCACCCAAACAGCACTTGCGACCACACACATGGTCTGTACCAGGTGCGGCAGCACAGATGCAGCACTGAGGCCGGACAGCTGCTGCCTGAGGGTCAGATGTGGGACACTGCACCCAACTGCCTCAAGCTGATGCCAGAGAGAGAAGCTTGGAGGGATCTCTCCCACCTGGTAGACTGCTCCCCAATTTCCCACCACTTCCTTCATTTTTAAACTTTTTTTTGGGACGAAGTGTCACTCTTGTTGCCCAGGTTGGAGTGCAGTGGTGTGATCTTGGCTTACTGCAACCTCCACCTCCAGGGTTCAAGCAATTCTCCTGCTTCAGCCTCCCAAGCAGCTGGGATTACAGGCGCCTGCCCTTACTACCAGCTAATTTTTTTGTATTTTTACTAGAGATGGAGTTTCACCGTGTTGGCCAGTCTGTTCTTAAACTCCTGACCTTAGGTGATCCGCCTGCCTCAGCCTCCCAAAGTGCTGGCATTACAGGCGGGAGCCACTGCGCCCAGCATCCACCACTTCCAGTAAAAAGACCATTCGAGCATCTGACCACCAGTGTCCAGTGACCCCACCTTACTCCTCAACAGACAAGGCTGCCTGCCACGCTTTCAGCTGTGCCCAGCCCTCTGTGCATGGCCTCCAGCCTGCTGTCGACCTGTGAAGTCACAAAATCATTATCTCCGTCTGTGTTTCTCCTCATCACAGAAGGGTGTGCACCATCTTAAAGACCCTGAATTCTAACACGAAAGGACCTGAGAGCATTCCAGTAACACTTTAGTCCTCATGAAAACAGCTACAGGCAGAAATGAGCACGCTCAGTCAGCCCTGTCCTCTGGCTTACACCTCACCCAAGGACATGCCCAACCTGGATGGCCAGCAGGGGTGTGGTGAACAAAGGTTTTTCTGTACTAATCTGCTTTCCCCTTCAAGTCGGGGACTGGTAGTGCTGTGGCCAGGGACAGTTAAACCTCTGAAGGGCAAGGCTGAGGTGCAGGATGCCACCTTCAGGCACAGAAAGGCCTGAATGGCCTCTGCAATGCCTCCCTGGGATGTGGGCACACTGGCCCAGCACCCGCCTGCTACAGAGGAGCGCCCTAGGTGCAGAGAAATTCTTCCCAAGGACCACCGTCCCTGCGCCACTCACTGCTGCTTATCACGTGTGGCAGCTGCTGCGACAGCTGGGGCTGGACCTTAACACAGAGGACACGAATGCCGTGCTACCTGCTCCCCAGCCTTCAGGTCCCTCAGAAGACGGAGGGTCATGCACCACTGCATGTTACCTGCCCTTCTCTTCCAACTCTTCTCTAAGTTTGAAGATGTCAAAACTGAGAAACTGAGGGTGAGGGACCTACCAGACTGCTCACAACTGCTCTCCTGCCCAGCTGCCAGCTGGACCACCTGACCCTCCAAGGCCACTCAGCTGTCTCAAAATGATACGTGGGCAGCTGTGCCCAGCGGCTCTTCCTGGTCTCATCCCACTGACGTGGGAGCACCACAACCACCACCACCTGGGCCTCAGCAGAGTTTCAGAAAGGAGATGACAGCCATATGGCAGGACACCGAAGTCCCAGCCACAAGCCTAGAGTCACTCTAGCTGGAGCCCCTCAGGGCCGCCCTCCCAAGCCTCTCCTGGCTCCTCCACACCCTCTGCCCTGCATGGGCTGCTGGGTGGCCTGGAAGCCATAGGGCAGAGGCAAAGGCATCCGCAGCCCAGGGACGGGTCAGATTCATGGCAGCAGGGAGGCAACTTCTCTGCTGCTGGGTCTCCCTTCCTCCTTGGGGTTGTAGTAAATCAGTGTAGGATTCATTCTCACCTTGTTTGACCAAATTTCAAAAGGGCAAAAAACAAAGTTGAAAAGTATCAAGCAGACATGGAAAAAACTGCAGATTCAGGCTGGAGAGGAGACAGACCCAGGGCCCAGAAAAGGATGCAGGAAAGGCTGCCTGCAATTATTGGTGACATTTTACCTCACTTAGGTGGTGATAAGCATTAACGGTATTCTCTTCCTTATGCTTTTCTCTGCACATCTAAAATCTATTTTTATATTTATACATTAAAGATATATATATTTTATGTATATATATTTTTAAAGTGAAGCAGTGGACGTGGAAAAGGAACAAAGAAATCTGTAACTAGTTGTGATTAATTAGTTGCAAACACCACTGCACTCAGACCAGCCCTAAAATCTGTTTTAAAGTTTTGGGCCAGCTGGGCGTGGTGACTTATGCCTGTAATCCCAGCACTTTGGGAGGCGGGGGCCAGTGGATCACCTGAGGTCTGGAGTTCAAAATCAGCCTGACCAACATAGAGAAACCCCATCTCTACTAAAAATACAAAAAATTAGCCGGGCGTGGTGGCACATACTTGTAATCCCAGCTACTTAGGAGGGTGAGGCAGGGGAATGGCTTGAACCCGGGAGGCGGAGGTTTCAGTGAGCTAAGAACGCACCACTGCACTCCAGCCTGGGCAAAAGAGTGAAACTCCGTCTTAAAAAATGGAAAATTAAAATTAAAACTTGGCCGGGTATGGTGGCTCAGAACTGTAGTGCCACACACTTAGGAGGCCAAGGGGGGAGGACTGCTTGGGCCCAGGAAGCTGAGACTAGAGTGAGCTGAGACGGTGCCACGGCACTCCAGCCTGGGGGACAGAGCAAGACCCCATTGCAAAACAGCAGCAACAGTTTTAAATGCTTACAGCAGCAAAAAGCCCACAGAAAATCATGCCTCTGGGGTCCCTTCCTAGCCTGGATGCAGATGAGGTATTCCCGGTTGCCCAGACAGACGAGTTCAGCTGCAGGGTCAAGAGCTGCCTCCAGGCTCCTCCCTTTCCAGGCACACACAGAAGCTGCCGCCATTTGCTTGCAGGTAAGCGCCAGGTGGGACAGTAGACTGCCAGGCCTCACCCGACACCCAGCACCTAGCAGATCCCCCTGACCATGCAGACTGACTGGCAGATCACACAACGTGGTTTCTTTGCCCACAAGTCTGTCTGCTCTTTCCAAGGGCTAAGGTGCATGGAATTCAAGAGAAATGAAACTATGGAACGCCCTTCCTGGAGATGGAGTCAAGGCGTTTCATCAAATTACACAGGCAAAGATCGAGGCCAATCAGTTGGCAGAGGGACAACAAACATGTAAAGTATGGGCTGGGCGGACGGCTCACACCTGTAATCCCAGCGCTGGAAGGCCAAGGCAGGTGGATCACCTGAGGTCAGGATTCAAGACCAGCCTGGCCAACATGGTGAAACCCCATCTCTACTAAAAATACAAAACTTAGCCAGGCGTGGTTGTGTGCGCCTGTAGTCCCAATTACTCAGGCTGAGGCAGAAGAATCTCTTGAACCCGGGAGGTAGAGGTTGCAGTGAGCTGAGATCGTGCCACTGCACTCCAGCCTGGGCAACAAAATGAGACTCTGTCTCAAAAAACAAAAACAAAAAAAACAAAAAAAAAAAAACACCACAAAACAACAACAAAAGAAAACACACAAAAAACCATACAAATTAGCCTGGTGTGGTGGGTGCCTGTGATCCCAGCTACTGGGGAGGCTGGGGAAGGAGAATCACTTGAACCCAGGAGATGGAGGTTGCAGTAAGCAGAGAGCAAGCCACTGCACTCCAGTCTGGGTGACAAGAGCAAAACTCCGTCTCAAAAAAAGAAAAGAAAAGGGAAGTTAAAACTTATTCCAAGTATTTGATGATCGACTTTTCTGTTAGTGAACTGGCCACATGCTGCACACACTCTATAGATTTCAGAAGAAATCCGGCCAAGACTGGACAACGGGACAAGGTGTGCCTGCAAGAGCCATCGGACAGAGCAGTGAACTGCACTACACCCAGAAGTGCCAACACTTACTTCTTCTGTGTCCATCCCGGGTGAGAGTTTTCCAGTCCCAGGGTGTCACCCTGAGCCAAAGGAGCCTCGAGTTTGCTGGCCATGCTAGGACTTAGAATCCTGTGTGTCTGTGGATCCCGCAGAGGCGTCTGAAAAGTCACCTGTGGGGAGTAAGGGGGAGGGCACCCGTTTGTTCGTTCAGCTGTCACAGCCACACCGGCAGTGTCCGGCAGCTCAGAGGTCACCAGGAAAGCAGGCCCTAGGGCGACCTGGCCAGCCACACATGGTAGAGGTCACACTTACCTTCATAGCTTTGGCCAGGTTCTTGGGTGGCACATTTTCTTTCTGTGACTCACAAAGAACAGACGATCTTCCGGTAACTTCCAGTGGCGAAAACAGGAAGTCGCAGTTTTCTGTACTTTTCTCACCGCTGACATTTTTGTTGTTTAAGACTTGCAGACTCATTCTGGAAAAGCAGAACATGTTCATGTCAGTGTGAGAACAACACTACCACGTTCTCTGGACAGACATGCCGGCTGCCCTGCAGTGCTGTGGGGGCACAACCCCCCTTTGCAGGCATGCTCATCACTCTGGAGGTGATACCTCCCCCAGGTGTCCTGTGCCAAGTGAGGCTGAGAAAGCCTCAGACTGAGACTCACTCTCCAGTATGGCGGGGAAAGTCATGGCAGCACTGCTGCCTCCTGGGACCAAGAGCTAAAGGGCCTTCAGGCTGAGACGGTAAGAAAGAAAAACCAAGCTCGCAGAACCTCTACTGCCATATTACTTCATCAGGCAGAGGTCAGGTAACAGGAAAGTCCTGGCCTATAAGAAATCCAGAAGATCCAGAGGAAGCCGTGGTCTCCCCACAGGCCTCTGCATGCGGCGTGAGGCACCACCAGGCAGCAGAGGGCAGAAAAGCAGGATCAGACCAGGCTGAGGGGGTGAAGGCCCAGAAGAGGAGCTTGGAGAGGCGCGTGGATAAGATAAGTCCAGAGCTCAGCAGCAGGTGCCAACAAGTATCTGCGTCAGGCCTCCGGCCAGGCCCAGCTTCCAGGACCTCATGCCGGGCACCCACACACCTGCCACCCTTTCTGCCTACAGCGTTCCCAGACTAGGAGAAAACGTAGGCAGAAAGGCTGCCAGAGAGAACTGAGTGTCGACCTGAGCAGGGACCCCACGGGCACCTGGTGATGACTGGCACCTGGGAGGCTGTGATTTGAAAAGCAAAGGTGGGGAGGGTCCTGGAGAAGGAGGGGCAGCCGGGGCAGGTCGGTGCTGCGGCTTGAGAAGCCCACTGTGGTGCTCTGTGTGGGTGGGGAGGGAAGCAAGGAAACCACAGGCTTCTGCAGCCCGAGGAGGAGAGGCCAGACCAGACCCGAGCCTGGCCACTGGCACGAATGGGACTTCCAGAGGACGCTTAGGTTTTTGGCCTGAACAACTGGGTACAGGGCAGGGGAAGGGGTGCCGGATCGCTGGGGGACCCACAAGCCTGGAACTCAGGGAGAAAGTGACTCGGAGGAAGCCTTTCGACGGCCTGGAGGAGCGCGGGAGAGCAGCAGGCCCAGCCTCGGTCAGGCGGGGCTTTTACTAACTATGGAGCCACGGGGGGCTCCGGGCAGACAAGGGACCGGCTCCGGGCTGGTGCTTTCATTCCACGCCGGAGCACAGAGGGCTGCGGCTGCGGGGAAGCGGTCGGGGCCCAGGTGCCGACCGCAGGTGGCCCAGCTGGAGTTGGCCCCAGGACGGAGGCCGGAAGGGACCAAAAAACGAGGGGCTCCGCGAGCTGGGAGCCAACAAAGAGCCAGAGTGCGCGGCCGAGAGGCAGGAGAGGGTCGAGGAGAACAAAGGACCTCGGGGCGCTCGCTCTGCCGTCGGGCTCGGCCCAGCCCCAGTCTCCCCCGGCCACTGTCCAGGGGCAGTCAGTCCAGGGCTGGGTCCCCCGACAGGGCGCGGGACGGGCTCCGGCAGCGGCCCCGGGAGGAGCCCAGGGGGACGCTTCCCGGGGAAAGCGGCGGCGAGGGCGGGAGTGCGGGAGGGCGAGGGCCGAGGGCGGGGCGGGACAGCCTCGCGGCCCCCCGCCCTGAAATCCCAGCTTCCCAGCGCCGTATGGCCGCTCGCCTACCTGCCCGCCTGCCCGTTGCCGGGCTCTGAGCCCGCGCCGCCGCCGCCAGGAAGGAGGGGTCCGCGCCTGCTCCGCGCCGGGGACTGAGTCAGGCTGCCGCAGCCTTCGGCGGCCGCCAGCGCGCCCGAGTTTCAAACGCGGACGGTTGCCTCTACGCAGCCAATCAGCACGCGGCCGGGGGCGGGACCGCAGCAGCGCGGACGCCCAATAGGAGCCGTGCCTCGCCGGCCCCGCCCCCTCGTGCGCCGACGGTTTCGGTTCCGGAGTGGAGGGCGAGTTAGGCGCCTCTGAAGCTGGGACCGCTAGCTCGCAGTCGCCCTGTGAACCTCGGGCTCTGCAGCGTACGCTACTGGGCGGGGCGTCATGGCCAGGGCTTGAGAGCCGCTCGCTCAGGCCTAAGTTTCCTCAGCTGTGCATTGGGACCAGGTGCGGCGCCGCCTCCAGGGCCGGCCCTGAAGAGAGGCCGCACCCTCACTGGGACTGCATCTCCCAGAGTGCCCTGCGGGCGACCGGACTCCATCTCCCAGAGCGCCCCGCGGGCGGCCGGGCAGCGGGACTCCGTCTCCTGCAGTGCCTCTCGGGCGGTCGGGCGGCGATTACCGCAACCGACAGGCCCGGGACCCGGCGCAGTGGCCTCTTCCCCGCGTCGGGGGCGGTGGCCTCGCCGGACAGCGTCCCGGCGGCAGCGCGATGGACAGCCCCGAGGGGACCTTCACTCTCGCCTATCTGGTCTTCGCCGTGTGCTTCGTGTTCACGCCCAACGAGTTCCACGCGGCGGGGCTCACGGTGCAGAACCTGCTGTCGGGCTGGCTGGGCAGCGAGGACGCCGCCTTCGTGCCCTTCCACCTGCGCCGCACGGCCGCCACGCTGCTGTGCCACTCGCTGCTGCCGCTCGGTGAGGATGCCCGCACCGGCCGGCCGCGTCCTCTCCCGCGCAGGGCTTGCTAGGAGGCCGGGAGGAGGCCTCCGGCGGCTCCCCGAGGCCCCGAAAGCGCCTGGGCGCAGCTGGCGAAAGGCGCCAGTACCCCGGTCCAGAGGGACCGCGGCGTCGGCTGAGCGCGCTTAGGGGCGCCGCTGGCGCTGGCTTGCAGGTGACCGGAGCCCAAGTTCACAACCTTGGGCAGGTGATACTCCGGTCCACCTGGCCTCAAGTCCTGGACCGTCACACCCCTGGGGGTCACAAGACCGAGCAGCCTTTGCTTATCGTGGTTGGGGGCAGTGGCCAGGAGGAGAAGGAAACTGTTGATTGATTCCAACAGAAGGGGTCGGAGAGGCTGTGTTGAGGGTGGCACTGCTCTAGGCCTTGGAAAGTGGGTGTTGGGAGAAGAGGCAGATTTGGAGGCAATTCCAGTTTGGGGGCACCCCAGGGTCAGAGGCCAGGGAGGGCCTCTGTGTGCAGCTGGGAGGCTCAGAGTTGTCTGGGGCATTGCTGGGCTGGGCCCAGGTTGCACCTGACTGACAGAGTCCCGACAGGTGCCAGCTGGGCCTCTAGAAGGTCCCCCTCTCAGCAGGTTGGATGATGGAAAGGTGGGAGGTCGGGGGAGCAGTGGCTGGAGGGGGATTCCAAGGAGGACACAGGCAGACGCAGCTCTGGGAGAACAGGTGGCCAGTGGCCGGCCAGGTCTGCCGCTCTGGGGACACAAGGGGGTGGCTGTTGATCCTGATGTGAGGATGCAGCTGCCTGGGCCCAGGAGAGCTGGAGGCAGGTGTGGGGTGGAGGCGCCCAGGCCTGCCTCATGGAGAGGATGGGCTGGGGGCCCACCTGAGAGATGGATGGGGCTGAGTGGGCCACTCAAGGGTACTGGGTGGGTTTCTGTAGTCCTTCCAGCTGCACCCTCCTCAGAGGCCTTTGAGGGACTGGGCGCCCCACTTCACCAATGAGGGACCACAAGTGACTCATGGTGGCCCCACCTGGAGCAGACAGCCCAACTGGCCTCACCTGGATATCAAGCTCCTTTTATTTTTAACTTAGTTGGAAAGTTTTCAAGCTTTGTTAGGCATTAGTTACCTACCGTTACATATCACGTTACCTTGAAACAGCGACCGGGCCTACTCCAGATGTGGACTATTGTGATTTGCCAAGGGGAACCTGCTGCTGCAGCTCCTCACCAGCGCCAGCGCTCATTTCGACCTTCAAATTGTCCCCGATTCAGCCAGCAGGGCCCTGAATCAGACTCCGTGTCCTGGACGTGCCCCTCATTCTTTGACACTTGCTTCCTTCTCGCACACAGCCTCTCAGTCTGGGATGGGCCATGTTTCTCAGCCTCGTCAGAGGGAGCGGGGTTGAGAGACCAAGGTCCCAGCAGGCCAGGGGTCAGGTCTGCATGAGGACAACTGATTGTTGTGTTTATTTCTCCCTTTCTAGAAAGGCTTTTGTAGTTTTTCAGTACTTACATATTGTGGGAACCTAAAGCAGCAAATTAGAAACCTTTCCCCCTAACATACCCCGCCATTGCCACGGGCAGGGACAGAGCGGGCTGGCTGGGCAAGTTCTCTGTGGGTAAAGTGCACTCACGTGGGGAGCTGACCAGGCCCTGGAACCCGGGCAGAGGGTCAGGCCCAGGGCTGGGGACGAGAGAGGGTTGCATGGTGGCCCTTGGATGGGCTTGCTGTGGGGGTGTGGACAGTGGCTTGGCCCCCCCACGTTCCCCTGAGGCTCGCCCTGTCCTTTGCAGGCTACTACGTGGGCATGGGCCTCGCAGCTTCAGAAAAGCGGCTCCACTCCCCCAGCCAGGCCCCTGAGGCCTGGCGGCTCTTCCTGTTGCTGGCTGTGACCCTCCCCTCCGTCACTTGCATCCTGATCTACTACTGGTCCCGTGACCGGTGGGCCTGCCACCCACTGGCCCGCGCCCTGGCGCTCTATGCCCTCCCACAATCGGGCTGGCAGGCTGTTGCCACCTCCGTCAACACTGAGTTCCGGAGGATTGACAAGTTTGCCACCGGCGCACTGGGTGCCCGTGTGATTGTGACAGACACGTGGGTGATGAAGGTGACCACCTACCGAGTGCATGTGGCACAGCAGCAGGATGTGCACCTGACTGTGACAGAGTCCCGACAGCACGAGCTCTCGCCAGACTCCAGCCTGCCCGTGCAGCTCCTCACCATCCGAGTGGCCAGTGCCAACCCTGCAGTACAGGCCTTTGACATCCGGTAAGAGTGTGGTGCCGGAGCGGCTGTGGAGGGGTGCAGAGGGGACACGGCAGGCCAGAGCCAGGCTCTGGCACCACGACCCCTGGGAGGTGCTGGCCTAGCGGGTGTGGACTCAGCACTCCTGGGCCTGTGTGACACCAGTCACCGAGCCCTCCTGTGTGGCCCTCCCTCAGGCCCCCCTGCACTCTTGGTCTTCCCTTCCACTCTCCCCAGAGCCATCTCCCCCAGATTCTTGGGGAGCACTTGGGACAGTGCAGCCCGCAGACTGGACAGCTGCTTTGCTCTGTGGTCTGCTCCCTGCCCAGGCTGGGCCATCTGGCACTGGGTCCCTGGGCTCTGGCCTTAAGGCCGTCTCTCCTGGTTGGTCCTGGTGCAACAGCTGCCTTGTCATTCCTTGGGGGGGGCGCAGCCTCCATCTCCCTTCCCCCTTTGCCCTGCAGAGGGCCCAGCAGCTCTCCTCCCTGCAGGCTGAACTCCACTGAGTATGGGGAGCTGTGTGAGAAGCTCCGGGCACCCATCCGCAGTGCGGCCCATGTGATCATCCACCAGAGCCTGGGCGACCTGTTCCTGGAGACATTTGCCTCCCTGGTAGAGGTCAACCCTGCCTACTCAGTGCCCAGCAGCCAGGTAGGGGCCAGGGCTGGGCGGATGGGTGGGTGCCCATGGGCGTCTGCTTGGGCTCCTGTGATGCTCTGCCTGCCCGCAGGAGCTGGAGGCCTGCATAGGCTGCATGCAGACGCGTGCCAGCGTGAAGCTGGTGAAGACCTGCCAGGAGGCGGCGGTGGGCGAGTGCCAGCAGTGCTACTGCCGCCCCATGTGGTGCCTCACTTGCATGGGCAGGTGGTTTGCCAGCCGCCAGGACCCCCTACGTCCCGACACCTGGCTGGCCAGCCGCGTGCCCTGCCCCACCTGCCATGCACACTTCTGTATCCTGGATGTGTGCACCATACGCTGAGTGGGCTGGGGCTTGAGGATCCTGGTGACTCTGTGTTCCCCCAGCCACAGGGTGGGGAGGGGGTGGCTGGGCCTCTGAGCTGGCAAAGGGCTCTACCTAAAGCACTTGATCTGTAGCAACTCGCCTCTGCCCTGGGTCTGCAGAAGGCTGAGGACTTTTGGTTAAAAGCAATCCTCATGAACACACCCCACCCTGCTCAGCAGCCAGGGGACAAGTCCTTGGCACCTCCTCTTTGCCGCCCTCCCGTCCCTTCCTGCAGGTAGGGGCAAGTACTGCACACACACAACACAGCATTTGCCCCGAGGCTATTCCCTGGAGACCCCGGGTCTGCTCCAGTGGTCCTCACCTGGGCCACTTGCCTTAATTCTCTGGAGCAAACCCACCCTCATTTATGTGCCAGACCCAGATCAGCTTTCTCCCGCCCTGTCCTGGAGCTGCCCCTGGCTGCCTGGAGAGCCCTGGGTATGTTCCGAGGATGGGGTGGAGAACAGGGCACGGCTCCGGTGTGGGAGTAGCCCTGGAGCTTCCTGGTGGCTTTGGCATTGGGGGGGCCGTTCCTGGGTGGCATGGCAGGCCAGGCCAGAGTGCCCTCATTGGTGGAACTGTCTCCTCAGGGTTTCTCACCCTGTCCTTGGTGCCTTCTGCTGCCCCCAGAAGTCCAGGGAAGGCAGAGGCCTCAGACTCCTGGATGAGGTGGGGTTTGAGCCGAGGACCAAAGTGTCACAGTGACATCCAGAACACAAGCCCACAGGGCATCCTGCACAGGCTGCCCACTCCACTAGGGCCTACCGGGTTCAGAAGGGTATGCACTCCTGCTGTGGTTGAGGCTCTGGTGAGCGTCTTGCCTGGTTCCTGATGGGCGGAGGCGGGGGCGGAGGCGGAGGCTTTGTCCAGGCCCCAGGGCACAGCCCTGACAGGTGTGGCTACTGGAGTGGCTCTCACACCTGCGGCCCTGGGCGTGGCTGATTCCAGCAGCAGTGATGGACTCAGGTGGCCTGACCCCCAGGACTGGGAGGCTTCCTGAGGCACTCAGAAGGTAAAGGCAGCAGGGGCCGTGGCCAGGAGCCAGACCTAGCTGTGGTCCTGAGTTTTAAGGGCTGCCAAAGAGGGTCAGCGGGTTGGGGTTGTTTTTACTAC